CCTCCCTCTCTCCCCTCCCTCCTCCCTCTCTCCCCTCCCTCCTCCCTCTCTCCCCTCCCTCCTCCCTTTCTCCCATCCCCAGCCTTGTGGCTCCCTGTGGCTGGCAGAGGAGGACTAGCCTTCTCCTGGAGTCATTGTTGAGATGGGCCTGAGCAGAAGTGCCCGTGTCTGTACAGGTAGGCGGCACAGCCACCAGGATGGCGGGAGCTCTGTGACTGCATGCATTTGCTCCATCCCTCATACCCCACCCTGGGGAGGAACCCAGGTCTGTTGGTTCAGTGAACGGAAGGAGCCTGCTGAGCTCTCGGGGTGGAGTGTGAATCAGAAAGATCAGGGCTCCGGAAGCCCACAGAAGCTTGGACTAGGGAGGGAGAGCTGAGTCTGAGTCTCCTGGAGGTGATGGCAGCTGCCGGCCGTGTGCTGGGACGTGAGGGAACACTGCTGGCCATGCCACAGCGGCGAGCTGAAGGCCCTGGACGGTCCTCAAGACACAGCCTGGGTTTCTCTCCAGATTGCAGGTTCAGCAGCGGGCATGGGGCACGCAGCCTCAGCCCTGAGGCTTTATACCTTGTGTAGTTGTATGGAGAGTTGTACCTTTGAAGGGGATGAGAGAAGGCGTCTCTGTGGTTAGGGCGGTACGTGTATGAGCTGCATGGGAAGGGCCATGCTGCTGCTGTGCCCGGGGTGGACCCCTCCTCTCCACAGCGAGGCTTCTGTTTGCGGGTCGGTGCGGCTGCAAGGCTGGAGGCGACCAGCAGGGGCCCAGTGCTGGCTGCAGGTGTGGCGCTAACCTTCTCTCCCCACTTGAAGGCACGCGGCTACCAAGGGCATCCTTGTGGCTATGGTCTGTACTTTCTTCGACGCTTTCAACGTCCCGGTGTTCTGGCCCATCCTGGTGATGTACTTCATCATGCTCTTCTGTATCACAATGAAGAGGCAGATCAAGGTAAAGGAGGCGCTGCCGCCGTGCTGGCCGTTGCTGCTCTTCCGTTCCTGAGGCACAGGGGAGCCGTGCTGGGTTATGCTGGGTGGTGGCAGAGTCTGCCTGGTGTGAATGTGGCGCTAAGTGGCAGTGTTGTGCGTGACAAGGACGCTGTTCCGTTCCCCAGCACGGCCGGTGAACGACCCAGGGAGCGCGGCTGTTGGGGCGAGCAGACTCTTGATGGAAGCTTGGTGGGAGCTGGATGGGAGAGCCTGGGTGTGTGCAGCGTCCCGTGGCTCCTCCTAGGGCGCCCAGGGCCCTGCGCCAGCCTGTCCGAGGAGGAGGGCGTTAGGGGGAGGCCAGCCGGGACCGCGGACTGTGCCCTGACAGGGTGGCTTTGCCACTGTGGCCTCACTGTGCCTGGGGCGTTGGCCTCAGAGAGGGCCCTGGGCCACCTCCCATCCCCTTCTCCCTTCCTCCACGGAGGGCCCACGAAACACCTGGATTGCTGGGGTTTCAGACCTGGGACTCGTGGGCTCTGGAAGGTCTTGCTGGAAGCCATTGGGTTCCTGATTCCACTTGTCTGATGCGTAGAAAAGATGGGGAACCTTTGGGCTCTCAGCTCTGGGGACAGTGTGGCTGGCTGATGGGAAGCGGTTGTGCAGAAGCTGCGTCTGTTTCTCTCCACAGCACATGATTAAGTACCGGTACATCCCGTTCACGCACGGAAAGAGGCGGTACAGGGGCAAGGACGACGCCGGCAAGGCCTTCGCCAGCTAGGAGCGGGGCTGAGGACGCCGAGCGCTGCAGGAACGGTTTTGAGCCATTGTTAACAATGCCTTTTCTTCACATAAAGTAGTTGATTACGAGGGAGTCGAATTTTCTTTTTAAAAAGAAGCTTCGGTGATTTGTAGCTGGAATACCAGGTTCTTGAAGAAACTGGCACTTAAACCAAATCGAATGGATTTCTTTTTCAGTGACGTTCAGGTGTTTCTCATGGACGGAGTTGTAGTCAGCTGCAGGCAGGAAGCCAGGCGGGTGGAGCCCACAGGGGCGGTGCGGGGCGGGCGGGCAGGAGTGCGGCCTGTGAGGGAGGAACGGCCGCTCCCCGCCAGGCCGCCTTCCCTACCAGCCGGAGGCGGTACCACGCCACTCCATGGAGCCTGAGGGACCGTCTAGCCTGATTCCTGCGCATTTGAAAGAACTGAACGCTTGAAAGGGGTGTCATGTCACTGTGGGTTCTGATGCCAGTTTCCTCGGTTCATCTCACTGGAGATGCTTTACAGTTGGCCTCTATCCTGATGACTCAAAACTTTGTTCTTAACTACCATGATTGCTTCTGAGGGCCTGGAATTATAAATATATATATTATATTTTAATTGTTTGAGATTATTTTGACACATTTGATACGTAAAGAGTGTTTCGTTTTTAATTTAAATCTGTCCTCATGCAACCCCCATGAGGGGTGGCGAAGCTGGCGGCAGCGGACTGGCTTTGTGGGTTCAGCCCTTGGCCCCCCCACTGCCTGGGGGGAGGCAGAACCCATTTGCATGTCAGCTCTTTTGATGTGATCGAAGAAATACTCTGAACCATTTTACCAAGTGATTTTTCACTCCACCTTTATTAAAGACGCGTGCCCTTTCTTGTGTAGTCTTTATCTAAAACACGACGTCGCTGGACACCAGAAAGCTCAGCTTTTGTTTGGCCTTCCCAAGAGCTGAGCCAGTTTTGCCAGCAGCAGAACACCCCTGCGGTGGTCCCGGGCGAAAGACGGAGACGCGAAGGAAGGCTCTCCGGGGCCCCCGGCCGTGCAGGCACCCCACTCTGGGCAGCGTTTCCGTCTTAGAATTTAGACGGTGAATGTTTATTGTCTGGATTCTTTCGCCAGTGTCTGCGTATCTGACATCAAGCTCAAGAGGCCCGTCCCGCTCGTGTGTCCCTGACCCGGGTCAGCAAGTGCTGCTCCCAGTTGGTGCTCTTGGTGCTGTGTTGAGGCACTCGGGGTTCTCAGACTCCAGACAGGAGCGTTTGTCACTTTCCGTACTGTTTTCCTGGTAAGCGCTCAGGCCCAAGATGTGACAGGCAGTCGTGTGCACGTGGCCAGAGCACAGTGTGCGTCAGAGGACTGGGTGCGATGGATGGACCCACGGAGGACCGCGCTCTTTCTGTGGGAAGCATGGAGGCATCTGCCCACCCGCCTGCAGCCCCCAGTGCCTCTCCTAGTGCTCCGCCCAGTCTAGAGGGTCACAACCCCCCACCCCCGCAAGCTGACCTTGACCGACCTGGGAACACAAGGTCATCGGTGTTGCTAAGCTGGCAGGGGAATGTGATGTGCGGTCACAACCCCCCCACCCCCGCAAGCTGACCTTGACTGACCTGGGAACACAGGGTCATCGGTGTTGCTAAGCTGGCAGGGGAATGTGATGTGCACCCTTGAGGCATTCTCACGCTGCGCTCTGAACTCTCAAGTTCAGTCTTGTCATTAACGCACCCACAGTTCAGTGGAATTAGTTTATTAGATATGCTAACGGCGAGGTTGTCTCTGGCACAGGTTAAATGCAGTTTTTTTGTTTTTTTTTTTTTTTTTTTTTTTTTTTTTTTTTTTTTTTTTTTGAGACGGAGTTTCGCTCTTGTTACCCAGGCTGGAGTGCAATGGCGCGATCTCGGCTCACGCAACCTCCGCCTCCTGGGTTCAGGCAATTCTCCTGCCTCAGCCTCCTTAGTAGCTGGGATTACAGGCACGTGCCACCATGCCCAGCTAATTTTTTGTATTTTTAGTAGAGACGGGGTTTCACCATGTTGACCAGGATGGTCTCGATCTCTTGACCTCGTGATCCACCCGCCTCGGCCTCCCAAAGTGCTGGGATTACAGGCTTGAGCCACCGCGCCCGACCAGGTTAAATGCAGTTTTAAAAACCTGGAAACATCAAAGGGAGGCAGGAAGTAGGCTGGGGCTGAGCTGAGGGGCCGCACACAGCAGTGACCCTGGGTCCACAGGTTGCCTGCCCAGCAGGCCCCAGGAGAGGGCTCGGGTGCCCCTGGTAGCCCCCCAACCCTGCCCTGCCCGAGGACTTGGCACGCGAGTGTGTGTGGGTCAGGAAGAGCCCCTCTATTTTCTAGAACTGGAAGCAGCCTTGATGTGTGTTTAAGGTGTGCCGAATGCTTCAGACAGGTGCCAGCCTTGGCTGGTCTGTCTGCCGTGTGGTCACTGAATCCTGGTGGAGGTGCTCTGCTCAGCTGCCCCGGGGGAGAATCCCACCGCCTCCCACGGGCCCTGGGGCACTCTGGCTGAAGCAAACCCAGCCCCCCGTGCCCCGTACCAACTCAACACACACTCATTCAGTCCACTGCCTTAACACGAGCCTGATGGAACCATCTTCTCACAATATAAATGAATAAAGTGTCTTCTGGCTACTTCTGAAGTTAGTTCTCAACTGTGTGGTTCGGGGAAGGGAGGGAAACAGTGAGACTGCCGAAGTGGCTGAGTTGCGCCAGGCTGGGCTTGGGGAAGTGCTCCATGTTTGGGCACCCCGCCAGGACTGAGAAAGCACAGTCAGGGGCAGCCATTACCTCCCGGGCTGGCTGGGTTAGTGTATGGCATGGCAAAAAACAGACAGTGTGAGAACGTTCTCATTTCCGTGCAAGGTGAATCTTGGGGCTAAATCTTGCCGGTCAGACTCCTGTGGAAGTCGTCTGTGTTCAGGCCCGCGCAGGTGCGGCTCAGCGGTAGTGCCGAAGGTAGACGAGCTTCTGGGGCGGGAACTTCTCCCGGCAGAGGGGACACTCCGCCTGTACAGAGGAGGAAGGGTCACAGTGGCTGAGACCACCTGCGCCGTGCCCACGCCCATCAGCACCTCATCGCATCCAGCTCTCTGCCCGTGACACGGAATGTAAACATGTTCTGTTTCCTTCAGCTAATGACCAAGAAAGAGAAAGCCAGCCTTTTCCCAGAAGGCCGAGGCCCAGTGGGGGCTGGGGTGGGGCTGGGGGCGTGGGTTTCGGCCTTGAGATTCCCTCCTGCTCCTGCAGCTGACACAGCCCAGGCAGCCTGGCTTCTGGTAAGGTGCTGCCCTCACCCTGCCGGTGTCTTGGGTGGGTGTGAGTCAGTGTGCCAGGGCTTCCAAGTATGGTGAGGACTCCGGGAAGAAAGATGTGCTGGGGTGCACGGGGCAGCCATGGCGCCTTTCAGGGCTGGCTGCTGCCCCAACCTGCGTTCAGCAGAGCCTCAGTATGCTTGAATTTGGAACTTTAACCCCCCAGTGGCCCCACATCTGACCTACCTGGGGGTCTTTAAAAAGATGCCCACCTCCCTACCCTCAAACTGGAGAGTTCAGAGCCAGACTCCCCACTTCTGCTGTGGCCACCCCAGGACCCCGGCAGGTGCCCGCCTCACCTTGCTGCTGCAGCACGCGGTGATGCACTCCCAGCAGAACAGGTGGCCGCAGGGCGTGGCTGTCGGGTGCCTGCGCTCCTCCAGGCACAGGGTACACAGGGGGTTTCTGGAGATGACTCTTTCCTCCAGGGAGCCTCTGGGGAAGGTGGGGCACAGTGTCAAGGTGGGTGCGCCTTGCAGGTCCTCGCGAAGTGCCCAGGGCACCCCCAGCCCCGCGTGGCCCCTGAGCACACCTGCGGTGAGACAGGGCGCGGTGCAGCCTCCATTCCTTCCTGGCTCGCTGCCGCTGCCTGAAGCCGTACAGTTGCAGCCCCACAGACAGCGCCAGGTGCAGGAGCGACACTAGCCCCAGTAGCCTGTAGCTCGTGCGGGCTCTCAGGGCCTCTCCGGGCATGGGGTGGACACGGAGCTGTAGGGCAGACAGTGCCACACCCATCAGGACCCTGAGGGGATCTGGCCTCAGCGCCTGCTGGGAGGGTGACGTTAGAGCCAGGTCTCTCCCTGGCACTGGGAGCGCCCGGCAAAAACAAGCTAGGGGGACGGGTTCGGGGCGTCCCAGGTGCCCGTCTCGCAGCCTAGCATGAGGGAGAGGTCGAACTCCAGACCGGCCTTGGCATCGTCAACACAGAGGGAGTCTCTGAGCTATGAGGCTGGCGGAGTTGGGGAGCGGGTGAGGATGTGGGGGTATCCAAGGACCACTTCTCAGAAAAGGAACCTGCAGGGTGGCCAGAGAAGGAGCTGGGGTGGGGGGCAGGAACGGGGGGGTGGGGGTGGGCTGCAGATGTGACCCCCAGCTGTCCTGCTCCAGGGATGGAACCCCAGTGTAGCAGGCACATGGCCCCAGGGATGTGGCTCCTGCTCTCCTGCCGCTGGCAATGCCTGTGGCTTCTGGCCGTGCTTCGGAAGGACAGCTGGCTGCCTTTGGCTTCCTGTGTCCCTTCCCACTGGCTGGGAAATGGAGATGGCCAAATGGCCTCAGCTCAGGGCTGGGAAGCATACGGAGGTGCAGGTCACACCACCAGCGTGGGCCCTGGGGGTCTATACTTCCTGGCTGTCCTAGGCAAGAGGGAGCCTCCCATCTGGTTTGAGCCCTGTTTCCAGGCCTCTGTCACAGCAGCTCAGCAAACCCTCGCTAACATGGACACGGCGAGGAGTCACATCAAATATGCGAGGCTGGGCACGCCGAGGACCAAGACCTGACCACTAGCTCTGTGACGAGGAGGCCATGGTGGCCTTCTGTTCAGGGTGTGTGTGGAGGTGGGGTCGCCTGGCGACTGGGGACTGAGGAGCCCAGCATGCCCCTGAGGACAGAAGGAACGAAGGGGGTCCCTTGGAGGCTTGTTCTGGAAGGAGCATGTGCAGCATGGCAGCGGGACCGTGGGGGAGGCTTTGTTGCTGAATCTGGAAGCAGGGGCGTCAGCTGGGGGTAGGATGGGCAGAGGTGCCGACAGCTGTGGAGGGGAGAGGTGAGAATGGCCGTCTGATGGGGCAGACCGCTGGGCGTGCAGGGGCGAGGTGTGAGGGGCTGGGGCTGGAGTCCCTGCTCCCACACTGTCTGGGAGAAGCTGCTTGTTCCCCAGAGCAGTGACATGGGCAGTCACAGGCCCACCAGGTTCAGGGATCTGTTGCGAGGCGTGACCCAGGCCCTCGGTCAGTAAGGCGGAGTGCAGGGCCTGGCATCTACGTGGGGCTGCAGCAGGGGCTCATGATAAGCTCGGGGTCTGCACGTCCCTGGATTTTTCAGCCAAGTGCAACTAAACAAAACCTGCCTTTTTCCAAGGAGAGGATTTGGGTTTCCCCCTTGACACAGATGCTGGAGCCCTGTTGGCTGAGAGGCCTGGAGGGCCAGCTCTGCACACACCCAAGTCCAGCGGGGGTGACAAGGGTGGCCGAAGCGGCCGTGCCCTCAGCACCTGCTACTTACGTACGTGACCCCCGTGAGCCTCTTGGCCAGATGGTAGAAGACGCCGTGGATGTAAAACCAGGCAATGTGTAGCCGCTGGAGGCAGGTGAGGCCCTGTCGGAGGACAAAGGCTGCCCGCAGCAGCGCCCTCCTCTGCTGCTCAGGCAGACTGGCAGTGTGGCGACGCACCCAGCGCCGCGCCCCTGAGCAGCCGCGCCTGCCCGGCACCAGGCTCCCCTGCGAGGGTCGCCCACTGTCGGGGTCAGCCTGCAGCTCCTGCTCCAGGGGGAGCAGGGCTTTGTCCAGCAGGTAGGGCAGGACGGCATGCAGCGTCACCAGTGCACCACGGCGCAGCCAGGAGGGCACCCGTCTCCCCGATGGGTCCACCTGCACGATGCTGACATACTCCTCCCCGAGGGTCTGGTAGCCTACGAGGAAGAGGATGGGTATGTGGAAGCTGAGAAGGCCTGCCACAGGGACGGGCTCCCGGCCTCCATGCCCTCTGCTGGCTCCTGTCAACAGCCCCATCTTGTCACCCACTGTCGCCCCACACTGGCAGATGACCTCCTCTTGCTAAGCCCATCAGTCTCACCGTGACCTCAGGCAGCACGTGACAGGCCCAGCCAATGGCTGCCCTTGGTTCCTGGGACCTTGGCTGGCCGGTGTTCCTCCCACTCCCCCACCCACTCCCCGGCTTCTCCCCAGGAGTCTTTGTGCCTTCCCATTTCTCCCCAGCCACCCCCACCCCCTCCCCCAGCCCCAGTGCTCGGATTTGGTCCCATGGCTGGCCACCACCCACACAGCCGGCATTACCCAACTGATGCCCAGCCTGGACCTGACAGGGCACTGCACCCTGTGACATGGCTCAGCACTGTGACTTGCTTGTGCCACCAGGGCTGGCCACTGAGAAACGCGTCTCAATGGAGGTAAAGTCTTGGACAAAGGTCCTCAGGGACACACGAAGGCTGGAAGAACGGGCTCCCTGCTGGGAGCTGATGCCTAGCGTCTCTCGGGCCAGCACCTCCTGCTCTCCTTGAGGCAGCATCACCACCTCGGCCAGTTCCAGGAGCTTTTCACACTGCCTGGCAGCCCCCTGGCCGGTGTGTGGCTGCCCCTCAGTCCAGAGGTCCCAAGTGGGCTTCTACCTGCAAGTGTGGTGAGGCCAAAGTAGGCTACATCTGAGAGCAGCTCAGCCTCCTTCCTCCACTCCAGCCACTTCCTCGCACCTGAGAGGAGAAACAGTGTTAGTCCGGGGGCGCTGGCGGGCATCCCCCCAGTTGCCCAGGCCCAGATCCAGTCCCACCCTTCCATGAAGCCAACACTCTCTTCCCCGGCCTCCCTCTCTGCTTCTGTCTCTGGAGGCACCGCCTTGTCTCCGGCTGGACCTTCCTTAGCCTGAGCTGCAGTCTCCTGAGAACCTCCCACCTGCACCCATCTGTCGCTCTGGGAGGGCCTGCTAGGGCCACATGGAAAGATAGTCTTGGGTAGTAAGAGTGCAGGCCAGAGGCCAACTGTCTAGCATCAAAGAGCAACTCTCCAACTTCCTGGCCGTGAGGCCTTTCTGGGATTTCAGTTTGCTCATCTAACAGAAGAGTAATAGTAGGTTCTACCTGTACGGATGATTGAAGATTAAGTAAGTTAATATTTGTAACACATGGAGAACAGTGTGTGGCACAGGGGTGCCAAGTGTATTGTAAAATAAATACACACAAACCTGACCATGTCACTCTCCTGTTCTGAATCCGCCAATGGCTGCCCACCTGACACCCATGGCCCTCCCCGCAGGGAGCCTGTCTGTCCTCTGAGATTTACGCATGCTCTTCCTGTCCCACGGCACCATTCCTGCTGCCACGACACCCCTGCCACTGGGCTCCAGTGCCACTGCTCCGTGTATTGTTCTGCTGGGAGTTGATGCCTTTAACAACTGCCTGTCCCACCCCCAAAGACGTGATGGCATTGCTTTTTAAAATTTTTATTCTTTTTGAGATGGAATCTCACTTTGTCACCCAGGCTGGAGTGCAGTGGTGCGATCTCGACTCGCTGCAACCTCTGCCTCCTGGTTTCAAGTGATTCTGCCTCAGCCTCCCGAGTAGCTGGGGTTACAGGCGCCCGCCACCACACCCAGCTAATTTTTTAGTAGAGACGGGGTTTCACCATGTTGGCTAGGCTGGTCTTAAAACTCCTGACTTCAAGTGATCTGCCTGCCTCGGCCTCCCAAAGTGTTGGGATTACAGGCGTGAGCCACCGTGCCCGTTTTTGTTTGTTTTTCGTTTTAAAATTAGTGATGGAGTCTGGCCCTGTCGCCCAGATTGGAGTGCAGAAGCCCAATCATGGCTCACTGCAGCCTCATTCCTCAGCCTCCTGAAGAGCTGGGATTACAGGCACCGCCAACACGCCTGGCTAATTTTAGAATTTTTTGTAGAGACGGGGTCTTGCCACGTTGCCCAGGCTGGTCGGAAACTCCTGGGCTCAAGCGATCCTCCCGCCTCCGCCTCCCGAAGTGCAGGGATGACAGGCAATGCTTCGTTGGGTTCTGTACTCAGCTCGGCCTGGCGAGACAGGCAGGGCCTGGCTGAGCCTACCCCGGGTCAGCAGGGCGAGCGGCCTGGGCTGCCGGTCAGACCTAGGAAGGCCCGGGTCGGTGTCAACGGGACCGAGGTGTGAGGCGTTCGCGCCGCGGTGACCACCCACGGCGGACACCTCGCCTCCTTGAGGGGCAACGCCCCCTGGGCCGCTAGCTGGGATGTCCGGCCGCGGCCGGCCCTCACCCGCCAGGCTGTGCAGAGCGCTACCCGCCGCACTGCGCAACCCGCCGCGGTAGTACTCGTCCTTCTGCGCCGCGCGGATGACCTCCGGGGGACTGGCGGCGGCCGGGGCCATGGCCGCGGGTTCGGGTGGTCCCGGGAAGCCACGCTGGCCACGCCCACGCGGCGAGGCCTGATGACGGCACGACGTGGCTCGGCGTGCGGCGCAGGCCTTGCGTCACTGGGGGGGCGGGGCCGGCAGGGCAGGAGGCGGGGCCGGGCCCCAGGCGGAAGCGCGGCTGGAGCCAGAGCCAGCGCGGTGCGAAGAGAGTTAGGGGCGCGGCGCGGGGCGGGGCTGCGGGAAGGGAGTGGG